GGTAATTTGTCTTAAGTTAAACTGAATGTTAAATTTAAATCAAATTAAAGATTAAATTACACAAAGTTTAAAAAAATTAAATTAAACAAACTTAAATCAAATTAAAGTTCAGTTAAAATCTAAAATCAAATTAATTGATATTAAATTACATTAAAAGTTTGATTTAATGCTAAATCCAAATAAAGATTAATTACAATTAAAGATTACATTTAAATCAAATTAAAATATTAAATTAAGTTAAATTAAATGTTACATTTAAAATCAAATAAAAAATGTATTCAATTACATTGAAAGTTATATTCAAAATTACATTTAAATCACTAATTCAAGTCAAATTAAATTAAAATAAATTGCATTAAAAGTTATTTAAAACAAATTAAATTTTTAATTTAAAGTTTAATACGTAGGATTATGAATCAAAACCTCTTAAAAAGTCATAGCGACATGAGCTCACCACAATACAGATGAAGTCTCAATCCAGACCCAGTGTGCAGGCTTCTTCTTTGAGCTTTCCAGACACAGGATTGCACTTATCTGTATTTGCAGGCACAGCCATGAATTCAGAACTGACTCATCTGAACTGACTCAACAGCAACGATAAGCAGTGGTTAAACTCTGTCGTGACTTTTTGCAAAGGAAGTGGTTAGAGAAGACCCAGTTTTTGGTCAAAAGTATGGCTGCAATTGAGCATAAGTTTTAGGCCTCAATTACAGCGCAGAAAACAACGGGTAGATTTTGCCCTGAACAGAGAAACTGTGGTGCAGACAGACATACGCCATCATTACGACTACCATATTATCCTGTTCACTGACTTTAAATAAGAACAGCCTTTAACTGCTACAAAACCGAGAGACGGCACACAGGAAATGTGGTAAGAGACACAGAAATCCAACAACAAGATACCACATTGTGCGCACAAACAAATGAAAGTACTAGAAATGAGAAACACAACCACCTCAATGAGAGAGTGGCACACAGCCGTACAGCCACTATATGTTGCCCTCATACGGAGATGGTTTGGGTGTGTATTATGCTAATAACCTACATTAAAGATGCAGTCACACTTAACTTCACAGTTACGTAAAAAATGCAAGCTTGTGCAAAGAAGTGTCTCGCTTTCCGAAGTTCAAGTTTAATGCACTTGCAACTTGCGAATTCATACAGAAAGATGATATTTAGTGAGAACCTAAACGTCAAATATTTACTTGTTAAACCGGTTTGTTTAAAGAGAAAGTAGATGGAGCATATTTTCACATTCAGAATAATGAATGTGATTTATTAAAAATATAAGTCCTACAGCATGACATCATATCCTGTTGCCAAATTCTTTGCAAGCTTCATGCGTATTGTGAACACACTTTTGTATAAAATGGATTATTCACCATAAGCACCAAAACAAATGCATGTCTGTGCACCGTCTGGGGATTCTTTTGCCTGAGAACCTTTTCTGCAGATAAAAGAAAAGATGTGTACACAATTATGAATTGAAAGAGACACTCAATCTCTTTCGTCATCAACAGGTGACAACAGATCATATCAGAGCACGCAATTTCCTGTGTATTTGAGCATGTGGTGCAAATTCTTGCTAAACCAAAGAAAGACTAGAAACTTTGCATATGCTGAAAGCATCCAAAAACTGTGGTTTTTGAAGAAAAAAAGTTCAGCTTGGTGCCCACTATGAAATAACCATCAGAATATAGAACGGTATGGAATTGTTGCTTTGTATGGGATGCTATTTTGTGGTCCAGATGACCATTTATGATCAAAACCATAAATGGTACTCACTACTTGCCTTGTTGGTCTCTGTATGCAGCTGATTTATTGTACAGCTGACAGAGTTTTAGTGCAGAGACGTGTGCAATTATAAGACATGTTTGTGGATGTTATGTCTTCCACAGCATATTAGCACTCTGGGTATATCTGAATAGAGAGAGCAAGAATGCTTCATTCTCAGAGGAGGGGTCTCGGGAGATGTTTACACGACACAGTTTTCAACTAAAAATGGAAAACTTCGAATGCGTTTTGACCGTTCATTTACACGACAACGGCGTTTTGGGGCCCTAAAAACACAAACTTTTGAAAATGGGTTTTAAAGCGCAAGTTTTTGAAAACAACACCGTTATTGTTTCAGTGTAAAACACAAAAACGCGAATTTGCATAAACAGAGACATTGTGCGGATGCGTATTATGCGTTCGTACAAAGTGACATCGCCAACTACTGGCCTGGCATGCATATTGCAGCATCTTAGGCCGTTTTCACGGATCCATGTCAACAGGGGTTATTTTGTCAAAGTTGTCATCTGTAAAAACAAATTAAATGCACATAATATTATTTCTAATTAAGTCCTGTTGGTTTAAAAAGTCTACACCGTGAATAAAGCAAAGATTATTAAAGTACTTTTTACAAGAAAGTACTATTTTAGTTTCAGATTTTCAAAATTTCATTGTATTTAAAGTTTACTCTGTATTGTTATTTTGCACAACTGACCAGTGTTAATTTAGTATTATTTATATACTCTTATATTTTTATTGATATTCTGAATTAGCTTGTTTTTATATTTTCAGTTTTCATTTTTGTTATGTGCTTTTGTCATTTTTATTAGTTACATTTTTTTTAAATATTACTATTAAGGTTTAGTTTTTATTTATTTCCAGTTAGTAAATTCAGTGCTTTAACAAACCTATTTCATTTAGTCGCCAAGGCAACATTTCTAATGATCATTTAATTTGTTCTAATTATTGTTATTATCATTTATTTTTTTTCCATTTAATTATTTCAGCTTCATTACAATTAACAAAAAATCTTTGTTATCTAATACTTTTGTTCTATCTAATAACCCTGCTACTGACATGAATGTGTTAATACTTGCTTATTCACACTATTGTTCACAGTGCCAGTAAATGTTATAACAAAAAAGCATGAAAATTAAAACATGAATGAGAAGAATGGGTGTTTTGGAGTGACGGAAGTTAAAAAAAAATACTAGTGAGGGAGAAGCTAAAATTGAGGGATGAGAAGAATTGCACAGGTGGAGACAATAGAGAGGTACAAAAGCTCTCTCAATGGGTTTGGTCAATGCATAGACACAGACGTCTGGCTTTTTCCCCATCAATTCAAAAGTACTGCTCAGTCATCATTCACATTCAGTGCCCAGCCTCGAAACTGCATTCTGCTCACTTCAAACCTACAGAGAGCTGTGCTACAGCAACAATAAAGGAGCAACTGGTAGAAACTGGTGATTTTTAAAGTAACTTCTGATGAGTCAGACATTTATTCATTTCTGAGGCTGGCCATGTGGGTTTGGACAGTGTTGACGCCTTAATCTGTAACTTTTCACATTATTCTGCATAACTGAATCCAAAACATTCCAGTCTGTACCGGGGCAAAAAAAAACAACAACCAGCATGCAAGAAAATCCATTGCATACCCTCAAAATATCAAAAACAACTGTTTACTGTACATGCACTTATGAATCACAGTCTATTTAAAGGCTACTATCAAGCAGAAGTATGCATCTTAAAACCAAATGAGCTGCCCTACCTGGACAACATTTTTGAGCATCATAAGCACACAAAATCAAGTGTTTCCGGTTACTGAATCTCTTAATGTATATTACACTAACTACTGTATTCTGGTCTCTCATCATCTGGTCTCAATTCTGATTTCATTCTAATGTAACATGTTTTAAAGCTTTACATGGAACAGCATCTGTCTATTTTCTGAACTCATGTTTGAAGTGTAAGGGTGTCCCAAAGTGTCCCCCTCTCCATTAGGACCTCCATCAACATATGTAACCCTCTGGTGCTCTTTGGTCAAAAACTTTACATATGCATTTTTTTTTTTTACTTAAGTGGAATGGTACGAAACTTGGTAAATGTTTTGCCACTTGCCATGTAAAAAAAAAAAAAAAAGCTTGGTTCAAAAAGGTTAAATGGTCCTGAAAAAACAAACAAACACAGCCATACTCCTAAGAGTCAAAAATGACGCCACTGGAAAACATTTGGTACTGCACCATAACAAGCTCTTACTCATCTTCAGAAATATCAACCTCAAACGTGGAACACAACTTGTTTAGATTTATGGCTTTGAGTTTCTCGCAGTTTTAAAGTAAAACATGTTTTGGAAAATATATATTTCATATAAAATATGAAAATAGTATTTTTGTGAATTTTTCATAATTTAACTAATGACTTTTTTTTATTTTATTTTATTTTAACTTATAATAATCAGCCAAGTGTCTTCTTTAAGATGAGACCAAACTCAAGTCTGTGCTCCAAAGCATTCAGAATTGATGACAGTTCAAGCTGGAAATGTCATTTTCAGGTATGCTCAAAAAGTGGTTAACAGGCAATACATGGACTGCATAAACAATTTAGTACCACAAAACCCCCTAAAAACACTAAAATATTAAATAATAAAATATCAAACTAAAATATAGTACATCAATTTCATTTAAATATATATTTTTTTTTTTAATCAGTCATGTGAAGAGCACCAGAGAGTTCAAAACCCACCTAGTCTCATTTGTTCTCTTTGGCCTTTGTGACCATATAATGTGCAAGACAAATACACTGTCTGAACCTCCTTTCATTTTAAAAGTCTAGTTTAATTTCCCTAATGTACAGTGGGTTGGTTCACTATGTTTTGCTAAAAAAAAGTGCTTTGAAAACAATAAATAAAGTATCACACTGAAATGAGTGATGGAGGACTAGAGGCTCCTCTGAATCGAGCTGCAGTGTTACAGCTGTTGTGTCGATCCTAATGACACATTAGATCCTTTTCATCACTTAAACAAGCCGAAACATTCAGTTTCTCGCTCATTCCTGCGTGGGACAGTCAGGCTTTCCAGCAAAAGTAACAGTGAAAGACTAAAGGATGCTGAACTGATGCCATGTTTCTCACGCCTCACCTGATGAGGAGTATAGACATCACTTCGGAACAAATACAGCCCAGTAACGCTACATATTTAGTTCGAATATTAAGGAAAATAAGCACTTACCTGGTAAAGCGTTGGCGCGCGCTGTTAGGAGTAATCACAACTCTGCGTGAGGCACCTATGCGGGCGACGTCAAAAGCACGCACGCGTCCTGCTCTTCTGTCACAAACTCTGTCCGCTTCCTAACGCACACCTGATTCAGACACTCTCAGCGCCTCCGTTTTTAGGCTGCGCGCTCCATGTGACCAAATTCCCACACCGCCCAGTTTTTTTCGGACTTTTCCCGAGAATGTTTCCACTGTGGAGATGATGCTCTCCACTCACACGCCACGTGTCGCTGTCAAAATAACTGCTGGGGGGCTGCGCACGCGAGGGTGGACCGCGGGGCGTGTCGAGGGGGTGCGGAGAAATAGAAATATGATTTTAAAAGCAAATATCTATAACACTCTGTGCCAGTGCGCCACCTGCTGGTGGTGGTCAATAATGAGAACATCTTATTTATTCAAGTTTAAAGTTAAGATTCTAAAATCGCCTTCAAATAAAAGAAATCAATACTTGTATTCAGCAAGGACACGTGGAATTGATCGAAAGTGACTGTAAAGACATTTATAGCTATAGTTCAAATAAATGTTGCTCTTTTGAACTTTCTATTCATTAAAGAATTGAAAAGAAAAAATCTATCAATTTCTAAAAAAAAAAATAGCAGCACAACTGTTTTCAACATTGATTGATTTCTTGAGCACCAGATCAGCATATTAGAATGATTTCTGGAGCATCACGTGACTGGAGTAAGGGCTGCTGAAAACTGTAAGAACATTTCGTAAAAATGACCGTTTCATTGTATTTTGATCAAATAAATGCAGCAAATAATTATACAAAAATTCATATAGATTAAAATATTGTTTAATCTATAAAAACACTAGGAAAAATAATATATTACAAATCTAGCAAAAACTGTCCATGCAGTTCACCCTAATTTAATATATTTTAAAATAATATATAATATATATATATATATAAATGAAAAATAAATAAAATAATAAAAAATAAAATAAAAACTGCATATATATATATATATATAAAATGCGGTTTTTATTGTATTTTCCTTTTGGCTGTTTTTGTAACATGCTTTATTTTTCATTTGGTGTTGTCAAACAGTACAATCTCAAAACTCATAATCAGATTACCGTGGTTTAGCAGTGAGTTGTTCTGCATCAGTGTTTTGGAAAATTAAGGCATTATGAGCTATATGACATTAGCATTTTCACTCAAATATATCTGTCATCATGTTCTCAAGACTAATTATTTCATTTGTTGCATACAAGCAGGTGTGTTGACTAATGAAAGACAGCGTGTGAATAACAACAGAAGCATTTACTGTAGCAGGTGCTGCAAGGCATTTAGTCTTCAGACTGGACTATGAAGAAAATCATAAAGATTCAGCAGCAAGCAAACCAATGTTTTTCATTATTTATTTGATCAATATCAAAATCTGTGAGTACCTTAGATACTGCAATACATTGTGTGGCAATAAAAATATATTATCTTTTTTCCATTATTTGGTAACTGTTTGATAACGATTCAACAATATGTACAACAAAAATGTAGTCAGCTACTTGAGTTCCCAGAAAATTAAAAACAGAAGACAAAGTGAGTTAATGATGGACTTCAATGAATACCGGCATCTTCCACAACCATTTTAATACCCAACATAAACCACCAGTAAAAAGTCCTCCGGCTCCTGTCTTAAAACCTGTGCACATGTTCTTCGACATAAGAAACACACGCTGACTTCATTTTAAAGTGTCATTTTCAACCTCTAAAATCACAAGAGCTCATGATTTATGTTATATTTTTAGTAACATTTTTAGTGTAGTTTTAGTTCTTGTTGCAAGCATAAAAAAAACAATATTAATGCTTATAAAACAAGAAAAACATCACATATGTAAAACATATAAAAACTTAGATTAAGATATATTCTCTGAAATTTAACATTATACAATTTTAAGTAAATTACTCTTGTTTAGTCATTTTTACTGGAAAACAAGACAAAATACTGCTTAAGTTTTTTTTTTTTTTCTTGTGAATGAATATACATGCAAATCATGATGTTCTACTGATCCTGATCCTGAAGACTGATCCTGCATTAATTACCATTTTCAGTTGAATATGGTTTTAAATCATTCTAATATGTGACCCTGGACCACAAAACCAGTCATAAGGGTCAATTGTTTGAAATTGAGATGTATACATCACCTGAAAGCTGAATAAATGAGCTTTGCATTGATGTATGGTTTGTTAGGATAGGCTGAGATACAACTATTTGAAAATCTGGAATCTGAGGGTGCAAAAAAATCGAAATACTGAGAAAATCGCCTTTAAATTTGTCCATATGAAGTTCTTAGTAATGCATATCAATGCAACCAAAAATTAAGTTTTGATATATTTACGGTAGGAAATTTACAAAATATCTTCATGGAACATGATCTTTACCTAATATCCTAATGATTTTTGGCATAAAAGAAAAATCGATCATTTTGACCCATACAATGTATTTTTGGCTATCGCTACAAATATACCCAAGCGACTTAAGACTGGTTTTGTGCTCCAGGGTCACATATGGAGTCAAAAACCATGCTTAATCTAGTCTGGCTGGAACCCACCATTAAAAAAAATACAATACAAAAGAGTTTGAAAGTGGCAACACTTTCCCTGTCCTAAAGCTTAAGAGAATGGCATGCTGGGTTTGTTACACAATTAACGTCAGATTAAACACTTGGAGACAACTGCACTAAGCGCTTACAGACACTTGATAATGACTGCTAAAACTGCGGTTGTGTTTCTAAAATGATGTGGCGATCAATGACAACTGTGATGAGCGTTCAAAAAAAAACGGACGGTTTTAACCATGTCTCACATCCAGATCCTCAGGACATGTAGTGTTCAAGGGCAATGTTGCTACAAATCTGAAACCAAAATGGAGGTAAACTTTACAAAGATGTTAAAATTGAGTAAGTCATCTTAGATAATGTCAATAGCATTGTGGAAAACTATAAATAAATGTAAGGATCTTCAAAGCATAATGCAGTGTGGCTTCATTACACGTAAGTGGTCAAACCCAGCTGTGTCCAACATCTGTGAGAGATACTGTAAGCAGAAGAGTGCACATGCTTAGTGGAGGATGTGACGTTTTGATATGTGTGTGTGTGTGTGTGTGTGAAGAGGGCAGTGGTTTTGTATATAGTGTACAGTGGTATTGTGCATTGATTAGTGGTTGAGCTTGTAGTGTTAGTGAGAATTGGTGGAAGCTCCTAAACTGGTGCCACATAGTTGCCAGGGAATGTTCCATAAGCATGGGTCCTTTCAGACGTACCTGACAGGAAAAGAAAAAAACAATGTCATTTAAGCAAGAACATTTATGGCACAAAACAGCTACCTCTTTGCTAGCATATTATGGTAAATGACATTGTTGTAATGTGAGAATCGGCACAGGGAAGGTCTGGCACCGAGACTGCTCTTAAAGATACATTTTTCAGTTCTGCTACTATACTGTATGTCCATGAGTAGAACTGTATATTCCACTTTGATTTTTGAGTGATTATCTTGTGAAATAATCTATATTCAATACTTTTTAAAAGTGTGGGTTCAGTAAGATTTTGTAGTTGTAAAAAACAAATATTATTATATTCTACATAATACTGTATAATAATATTATTATTGTCTATTTCAGATTAACCTGCCCCTACAATCCTGTACACTAAAAATAACACCAATAGTTTTAAATGCTTGAAGCCAATTTAGGCATTGCAATAATCAAAATATAATTATCAAATATTAAATTATGATATGACTATCAATAAGGTACCAATATATCATACATCCCCATGGTTGATCTCTTTACTTGTCTGTCAAAAAGCACATACAGTATCTTAAGTCGGCAGTTGTTGGTTGGAATAAGCTGTGAAGTGAAACAAATTTACCTACAAACCAGCCGTCATCACACTTCTCTAGGACCTGAACGATGTCTCCCTCTCTCAATTCCAGCTCGTCTCTGTTCTGGGGTTTATAGTTGTAAACTGCTTTATACCTGAATGCAAAGAGAAAAAGTGAATGAAAAAGAATTACAAATGGTAAAGGGTGAAATCAGTAGCTGGATTAACCCTGGATATGTTTCTTAAAGGGACAGTTCACACAATAATAAACACTGTCATATTTTACTCTCCTTCATGTCATTCTAAACCTCATGACTTTCTTTCACAGCAAGATGGCCAGTAAATAAAGAGATGTTTTTTTTTTTACTTAACTATCCCTTTAAACAATCATAAAATTAATAAATGTAAATGATCTTTCTCTGTCTGCTTCAATTAGGTCAGTAGTAATGAACGATGTTCTGTAGAAGTACTCACGGTTGTCGTGAATAACCCATGTTCACAGGAGACTGTGATGTGGAAGGAATCTTAATATCTGCATTGGGCTGCGGAGATAGTGTTCTGGTCCCATCCTAAACATGATTGTTAAAGTTTTATTTGATTAGATTTTTTCCCCAAAAAAATTATGCAATATGTCATAAGTATTCACACTCATTCATTGCCACATCTATTCTTTGAACATGTTTCTATGTTGTTACTTGTGATCAACTGATATTGATTTTTCATTTATGGTCCTCGCTGTGTACATAATATAATTTAATGAAAATGCATGAAATCTAAAAATAAAATAGCTTAAAGTAAATAAACATTTATTTCCCAAAATACAAAAATATTCTACCATTCAAAAGTTTGGGGCCAGTAAGAAGTTTATTTATTTGTTGTTGGGTTTTTTTTATGTTTTTAAAAGATTTGAAAGAAGCTGCTTAACATTTTTGTGAAACCTTTTTTTCAAGATTTCAGGATTTTCACTTTTGATCAATTTAAGTGACGTGACATGTGACATGTGGCCAAGTATAGTGACCCATACTCGGAATTAGTGCTCTGCATTTAACCCATCCAAAGTGCACACACACACCGTGAACACACACCTGCAGCAGTGGGCATGCTTATTGAATAAAAGTACCAATTTCTTTCAAAAATTAAAAAAAATCTTACGGATCCAAAAAACATTGAACTGTAGTGTTCCAATAAAATTACTCAAATTAAAACCACATATGTGCCACAATGCAAAAATTCCACCATTCAAAAGTTCGGGGTCTGTAAGTTTTTTTATATATTTGAAAGAAAGTCTCTTCTGCTCTCCAAGCCTGCATTTATTTGTTCAAAAATACAGTAAGAAAACTGTAAAATTAATATTTTGTAATAATATATTATTACAGTTTAAAATAACTGTAATCAGCAAATGCTGATTTGCTG